TTCACGCTCAAAAGCAAATTAGAAAAAGTCACGTGATCGATATTTTTCAGTATCTCACTCTTTACTATATAATAAATCATTACATTACATTGAACATACCTCATACATTTCCTCACATGTGTTTCCCAATTAACATGCAAACATATCACTTAAATAATTGTTGAGTATAAATTTCACCTGGCCTGACTTCCAGAATTTCAGTTAACAGTTCAACAATGTCGGTTGCAGACAAATGTCTCAACTTTCGCAACTCTTTTCCTCACTCTAGCTAAATGTCTCACAAACTTTCTTGTTGTACAATCTTTCCAATTTCACGACCGACAATTCCATATTGAGACATCTCTCATGCAAGTATAATAATTTAACAAGGTCATTAATGACTTATTCTCCAGACATGGAATTCAATTCGCGATCAGCTCCAGCGGCTATATTAATACTAGTTCGTTTCAGATGCACTCTTCCTTCTCCCACAAATATGTTTCTCCATATCACAATCACAAGTCTATCCTTAACCCTAATGTGCACGAATCACAAGTCTATCCTTAACCCTAATGTGCACGAAACATGAGGAATAACGACATGAAAACGAGGCCATTGGAGCAAGAGTGCAGTATAAAACAGTACATGCAGTCTATTAAGGGGAGGGTCTACCCAAACAGTGACGGAAAATTGAATTATTGTTTTTTGGGTTAAAACATAAGTTTAGATCTTCATTTAACCACTGCCAAAAAATTGGGGGGTATTTCTCACGGATTTTGTGTTTTTTTCAACATTTTATGACTGTGTATTTAAAATTTGCATGCGTTACTATGGCAACGGACATGGTATTTTTTAAAATTTTCATTGTTTTTTGGTGTAATATCAGAGTGTAATATGTTATGTTTGCTAAAAATTGAAGATAACAGTCAAGAAGGGTCTGCAAACTCTCTGTTCAGCGGCTGTTACTTCAAAACAATGCATTGTCTAGCGCATTGTGGTTTCTTGAAAAGCGAGCTCACCCAACAGCAAGTTGAAATATTTTCTGGTGATGTTATAAAAGCGTTCTAGTTAGTCAAATGATTAGTAAAAGAAAGAGAAGTGTCTATCGTAAAAGAGTTGGCTGTGTTGGTCTGTAAAAGCAAGCGTCTGAGGACAATCAATCGTCCTTGGGTGATCAAGATGTTGATAGTGATTCTGATTCACAGAGGTCTGACTTGGGTGACACGCTTGCCGATAAAGGTGCAACTACACCTCAATTAGAAGGAACTCCAACACTCATTAATGCATGAAGATGGAAATTGAGTCAGCATAGCTGCCTTGGTACCCCCAAAAGATGCTATAGAAGAAAGAATTGCCGACCAAACCTCTGCATACAGTGATACACTGATACAGACTTGTTGACATTCAACAGCTGTCATCTGCTGTCTTTGATATTCATAAATGTCGAAAAGGTAGGCTTCATGATTTTGTTTCTAACTTGTAAAACACTTTTGGTAAAATTTGAAACAATCTCTTAGTTGTAGAATGCAGTTTTACTACAAATTTCTGCTTGCCCAGTGGACCAATAAATACCACTACATACTGTCATCATGTCATGTGTGTGTACTGCCCAAATATTATGCTATTATATCTCACTAGAAATTTTTCAAAACTTTCACATAGGAAACCTGTTACTTGAAGAAGGAAGGAAACAGGGGTTTATGTCAAGCCTGAACATGGAATGTGTTTCGTGTAAAAATGTTGAGGTCTTAGATACATCTGATAGTGTATCGCGAAGGGGGTGATCTTATGATGTAAATCGACGGATGGTTTACAGTTCAATCGAAATTGGTTGTTGGCTATGAAGGATTGGTTACACTATCCAGCATTTTGTGGAGCTGCCAATACACTGCATATAATGAAAAAGCTGTTAATTCCAGGTGGGGAATATACAAGCAAACGTTCGGCTTCAATGGATAGAAAACGTGTGAGCATGCTGATGTGCGAGCAACTGAAAAAGAGAAAAAGTGACGTCAAGGGGAGAAAATTATTTGTGTAAGAAGGGAAGAAGCTTTAAGAAAGACAGATGTTACCACATATCAAGCTGGTGCCTTTTGAGTACATCCAGAAAGACTTTGGTCATGGATTTGAGTACATTAGACATTAATTCATAGACATCACAAATAACCGAAACTTTAAATGCCGTTTTCTCAAAATCACCTATTTCGCAGGTTGAAAAAGGATATCTCTAGAACAATATGACCAATTGATCTGAAATTTTCAGGATTTATGCATCTTACTATGTTGTTGGGGATGAGTTGAGGATTTTTTCATATTTAGTTTTTAACCAGAGTTATTGCATAAAAATACCTAGTATATTTATGTGCTAACTTTAACCCTTTGTTTCTAGTGAAATATTTAAAATTTTCAAAAATCCTCAACTCATCCCCACAATTACTAAGTGCTATGTCTATTATTAAAAAATGGGGTGATTTGAATTTGCCCCTGGCAAGATATTTTTTTTCAACTTCAGTCTGTCGAAAAACAGCATGTAGCCACTTTAACCACCTGGTTGCCAATGGCAACGCATTGTAGCCACCTTAAATATATTTTTTTAGAATCTTCATTCCATTAGCTTTCTCCTGATATATAGTTTCCCATATGGTTTTTAAAAAGTATTGCCACAACAGACCCTTTAAAGATAGCTAGTAGCGATTCTCAAGTTTGGGTAGACCCTCCCCTTAAGCTACAATCCAAGCCAAAACCATCCGGACAGTTGGGCTCAATGCGTTGAGGATGAATTTAATGGTATAATTCATGCCCCCACTCTCCCCAAAACAGTGTTTAATAAATCGTTTTCGCATCGGCAACTCCGTCTGCATTATATTGCCATTATTGGGATGCAACATTGAGAACGGGGGGTGGGGGCTTGACAGATGTTTTACTTCATGTAATCAATTTCCAAATGTATCAGTCATATATAAATTGCTACAATTTTGTACTGTCCAAAACGGTTTTGGCCTGGATTGTAGCAATACCTTTAAAGATCAGAGCGATTATAGGAGCATGTCGTACAGTAACTTTAGTCAGTAATCCATCGATCAAATCCGGCCAGCAACCCACTTGTTCAAAGGAACAGCAGAAGGTTCAGAGTAAAGCGGCATAATTTCAAATTTGTTAACTTGTCTTGATGGTTTTATAGTAACGAGAGGACCAATAGCAGGGCATTGAACACCGAG